TAAAATAGGCATATTTCTCCATATTCTGTAGCTGAGAGTTGCTGGTTGAACTCCCACCTGGAACTGCTCCTGCATTTGGGTTCCTCCAGTCGTTTGGGTGGTGAACAGCTCATCAACATATTTATGCAGGTGAGTTTCCTCCACCTCCGTTTCCCCAAACAAAATGGCTTCCACCAAAGCGTCGTGGATGAAGACGAACTGCTCCTGTGTCCAGAGGAAAAAAAGGTTTAAATCACCCAGAAAAGCATCAAGCCTTCACTACAGCCGGATAGCAAAAGATGTGTCGAGTAATGTTAAAAAAAGACGATTTTTTTTTTAGATAATTTATGGTGGAACAACCATCAAACCATCATCAAGCTTTAGCCAATGTTGAAAAGATGGAATTAAATAAAATAAAATGTTGTGTAGTCGAATTTTAACTCCATTTTAACCTCCAGTTCTAGCCAATGTTGAAAAGATGGAATTAAATCAAATAAAATGTTGCGTAGTCGAATTTTAACTATTGAAAAGCCAGCGATTAATAAAAGGTGAATAATGTTTGTTGCTGGTCGGCTCATTTCTTTGCAGCTTAAATCTTATTTAATTCCAGTTTTTCTAACTTTAGGGATATTACACAAAGCCATGTTGAAACTTTCAGTTTTTGCCACCAATATTTGGTTGTTTTAACCCTTTAAAGCCCGATCCAAGAATAAAACAAAACAGAAAAATTACTTTTTTTTTGGTTTGAAGTCTTTGTTTGGCCTTTTAACAAATTATGTAAAAAGAAAAAACAGAAATACATTTTTAATATTAATAATTTATTACTATGCGATAAGTCCAGATTATTTTTTGTGTAGTCTTCTACCCCTGTTATCAGGTGTATCTGATTGTGTTCAATAGGATTTAGAGCAAAGTTTTTACCATTAAATTATGCAAAAGGTGTCAGACGCAAAACATTTAAGAAACCGTATAGAAATATGACACATTTGTCATTACAGGGTTAAATCAAATAAAATGTTGTGTAGTTGAATTTTAACTATAGAAAAGCCGGCGACTAATAAATGGTGAATAACGTTTTTTAATGGTCGGCTGGTTTCTTTGCAGCTTACTTCTAATTTTATTCCAGTTTTTGTAACTTTGGGGATATTACACAAAGCCATGTTAAAACTTTCAGTTTTTGCTACCAATATTTGGTTGTTTTAACCCTTTAAAGCGTGATCCAAGAATAAAACAAAACAGAAAATTACTTTTTTTTGGTTTGAATTCCTTATTTGGCTTTTAAACAAAATATGTAAAAAGAAAAAACTAAAATAAAGTTTTTATATTAATAATTTATTATTATGCGATTATTTTTTGTGTATCTTCTGCCCCCTGTTATCAGGTGTATCTGATTGTGTACAATAGGTTTTTGAGCAAAGTTTTTACCATTAAATTATGCAAAAGGTGTCAGACACAAAACATTTCAGAAACTGTATGAATCAAATATGAAACATTTGGCATTACAGGGTTAAATCAAATAAAATGTTGTGTAGTGGAATTTTAACTATTAAAAAGCCAGCGACTAATAAATGGTGAATATTGTTTGTTGCTGGTCGGCTGGTTTCTTTGCAGCTTAAATCTCATTTAATTTCACTTTGGGCACTTTTGAAGTAACTTTTGGGATATTAGACAAAGCCATGTTAAACTTTCAGTATTTGCTACTAATATTTGGTTGTTTTAATCTCTGAAAACGCGTCTGGTGTTGACGATGTTATGAAAAAAGACACAAAGAGAAGTGGCCTGTTCTCTTAAATGAAATTCAAGAAATGTATTCATTTCGGATTATGGGTTGTCTTTTGACCTGGCTGGACTCATTCTTGCTAAATTATAGAAAAAATTCATTATTAATTATTAATTATTCCTTAGATTTCTCCATCTCTCACTAAAAGGACGGCACCCAGACCAGTTTGAGTCAGTTTGAGTCACCATTACTTCCACAGTTCTTATGATGTTAAAAATAAAGATAAAGATATGGGTTATGGGTCGTCTTTTCACCT